TAAGAATTAGCTACAACTCTTTTATTTAAAAAAAAACTTTTATTTTCTTGCCGCAGTATGTGTCGAGCAACCCTATTCCTCCCCCATCAGATACACGGTAAGAGCCCATGATGGTCGTCAGGCGGTGTATAAAATCTGTATGGCGCGTTAAATAAACCCTGGACGAGCCATAAAACACTCCAGCATCTTTACGGCATCTTCATTTTAGTTTGAGAGCAAATACCTATCTCTCGATTAGGGAGGCTTTGTCTTATTGCTGTTTTAATAGATAAGTACTTACTTTTTTTTAAACATAAATTCAGAGAAACACGTACTTAGCCTTAAATATTAAACCTTTATGACTTCGTAGATATAATAGAGTACTTACTTGGTTCTTGTTTTGTTAATTTTTAAAAAAAGAATTGGAATTTATGAATAAAGTACCTAGTGCAAAATATTTAGGTTTGTGTTGTCTTTTTGTCACTTTAAAAAAAGTAACAGCAACTAAGAGGTAATATAAATTATTGCTAATTTTTATTTTTATAATTAAATAACTATAATACCATAAACAAAAGAAGCATGGAGAATTGCTTGTTACTGTTTATCCTACAAAGACATGTAATTATAATACAAGGAAGGTCGAAATCCTTCCTAAGGATAATTGCATTTATAATGCAATGTTTCAGCTATAGTTAAAACCAATAAAAATTAAGTATGCTTCAAAAAATTACCGCGATTGTCTACGCTTTAGTATAACAATAAGTTAAAGACATACAAATCTTAAAAGGAAAATTTAAAAGCAAATTTGATGTTCCATAAAACCCACTAACACAGAATAGACAAAAGGAAATACTTGACAATAGACCAACAAGAGATCTCTTGTCTTTATTTAATCATCGCACAATTGAATCGTCGCAGTCTATGGCTTGACAAATTCGCACGCCCCCGACATTCCCTTAAACGCGCACTTAACTCGTACCCTTTACGTCTTTCACCCTCGGACGCCTCCATTCTTTTTATATCGCAACTTTATTAACGCATAAAGGTCTGCTGATGGGCCCTTTAAGAATTAGGATGCGTCCTGGTGCCGGCGTTAGGCTCACTCGAGCCGAACAAATGGAGTGTCGGAACTTAGGCCGAGTGCGGATACTCGTGCCGAATTGCACTGTCCCATCCCTATACGCAATTAAACCAGCCGTTAGCAGGCTGTTCCAAATTAAAATTTGATTCTACTGATTTTCGCGGTTATGTTATTATCTCGACCTCGTTATTTACCGTTTAAATTAAAAAGTATACGAATGACACTTACGTTCTAAATTCAAATTTGGTCTTTTTTATGTAGTCATAAGTTAAGGCGGGCGAAACAAGATTTTTCTTCCCGTTACGAATGTAATACACCAAATAATAGGGGAAAACGTATCTCAATACGAGTATCGACGTGAAAGCAATCGGATTTACATGTCTACCGATGGCGTACTAAAACGAAATCATGAATGAAGCGCAGTATAGGAAACCCAAAACATTATCCTTATGCTCCCATTTTACGACCTTTACCCCCATCGAGTCGAAAGGGTCACATCGGTACGACACGCTGTAAAACCATCCCCGTCTCGCTTGTGCCCGTTACTTACTCGTAAAACCGAAAGAGATAATCACGAAGATGAGTCGAAAATTATTTTTTTTATTATCACCATCGGCGGTGCTCTTTTATTTCCTTTTTACGGTCCGAGTACCTCATAAAAATACAATAAACTTACTATTTACAGACCATCAGGAAATTGTTAGCCGAAGAGGTCTCTTTACGACACATGTTCGCCTGGTGGCGCGCGAGTCCAAGTGATGCACTCTTTACGATTGGCGCGCACTAAAATGTTACCGGATGATACATTTTATCTCCCATAAGAGTATATCACACCATGAAATAAAACCGCAGAATGTTTACTGATCTATGAATGCCGGAAACGGTACTTAGATAAACAAAGAAATGTGTCGTACGTCATTTGACAATGAAATTTAAACTCTTCTCGTTAACCAGGAGCAAATTACCGGGAGTAAATATCTGTGCACATTACCAGGGCATCATAAAATCATAGGAGTGTTAAAATCCATAAAGGAGCTATCGGAAGCCGGAGCTCTTTAGTTTTATTATTGGGGAATTTCGTCAAGAGTTTTAATAATAGTTATTAAAACTGCTGCCCGTGTTACCTAATACATCGGTTAAGTGTTCTTTTTATGATTTAACACAGATTCTCCCCGATATTACCGGTTATAAATTATAGCCGGGATTACAGGCTAAATTGTTTTATGATATGTTTTCATTGTTTACGAGTGTAATGGTTTTTTTTTCATGAAGGCAAGTAGATTTAGAACTGAGCACTTATTAAAATAGTTTTATAATATATTTCAATAATATTTTACTTTTATAAACATTTTTTATGAGCCTGATTACAACGTAATTTTTACAATAAAAGAGAAAAAGGGGAAAAGACATTAAAAAGAAGAGGAAAAAACTGATTTTAGTTCTTACAATAGAAAATAATAACGGTAGCAGACACTTTGGTGCAGCTACTAGGAGTAAATATCTCTGTAAGTACCAGGGCCACATAACATCGTAGGATCTCCGAATTTCTTACATTGAGTGAGCGATTTACAGATTCGTGTTAGTTTGCAATAACAGGCGTTTACATCGAGGTTTTCAAATATCTGCGCTGTGGGCACCACGACCGAGCCCAAAGAGGGGCAAGGCACTCCACGGTTCCAATATTGTGAATTCCTACGATCGCGTAGTGCGCGTGTAATGAATTTCGGGATTGTCTTGCGGTTTTTCGGCCTCAACCCCTCCGTCCCTTGAGTATTTACTTCCAGTCTATTGGATGAGCTTACATTATGTAAAAGACGTCCATCGAAGTTTTAATAACGATCGTGGAATTCTTTTGGCGGTTTTTTCGTGAGCGGAACACATCGAGCCGAGGTACGCGTCGCCGCATGGCACCGTACCTACACAGAAATATATGATAATAAGGGTTGGTATTATTTAGGTCCGGCCATTCCTATGATAAAATTGAACCAATGATATTTGCCCGCAAACAATTTCTATGGAGATTTCGGTCTTGTTTCTGGGGTTAAATCTGAGCATGGGGAATGATATACGGGCGGGCCGCGGCCTCGATGGGATCTTCTTTTGGGAAAAAAATATCATACAAACGGAAAGAAATACGCGTTGGGATTATAATAAGGTTAAATTCCATCGTTTGTGTGCGGAAATCCAGGGTCACTTACACGGCTTTTTTTGCGTCAGCATTTGTTACTTATATAAAACGTATGCTTGATGGAATTCGCAGTTTAACATAGTTTTTATTTGACAGAAATGGTAGCGGATAAGACGTTTAGGCTTCCATTATTGTCCATAAATATGGATATACAATGTATTTTTGTATTTATCTCGTTAAAAAGCAAAAGCATGTAATTTATAATACACCTTACTATTCTAGACCTGTTGAAAAAGGGATGTGAACGCCAAAGTACTATTTAATATTTTTTCTTTCCAAGAAGGGATCCCCCCTTTTCAAGAAGTGAAACGCCCTGCCGCGACGGCCTAACGCCTGATAATAATCTTTATTGTAATAATGAGTGGATTACAAACATTTTACAGCCCTGATTCCCAAACTAGCGCGAGCTGTGTGTAGGGAGACAGTTCCTTCTCAAAGACAAGGTGAACAAATAGTTACAATAGTACACACAATTTTGTTAAGTATTATATGTTTAATTAGATATGTTTGTGTGTGGGTTTGTGTGTGTGTGTGGTATGTGTAAGGCTGGGAGAAAGGGTGTGTATGGTGTGACTGAGGGTATGTGTGACAATATTCAAGTTTTCATCAGTTCACTATTTGTAGTAGGCTTTTAACATCATCAAATCCAATTTCTTTAAGCCACAATTTAATAATATTTTTTATTTGAAAGTTAGTTAAGTTTTTAATTGTTTAAGTTAAATTATTTTGTTATAAAGTCTAGGTACAAGATTACTATAGTGTTGTTGGGCAAATCTGCTGATTACTCTTGGAACTGGATGGTTTTAAAAGTGGAATAGTAGTTTTGGGATACCTACGTATAGTTTCGTAGATAAATAGTTTCTGCACAGAAAGAAAATCGTTGTCCGTGTGGTGATGGATTAAGAATACGGAGTGTCACCACCTCTATTCATCCCGTGGGTGCGTAAGCAAACTACTCAATAAAACAGCACTGCAAAGAGAAGTAAAACTTGACATAAACCCTATACTAACCCGTCTGGCCAGCGTGGTATAGTAGGCCAAAACCTCCTTTCTAAGGAGAGGCCTATGTCCAGCAGTGGACTGTTTAAGGCTGTTGATGATGATGATGATGAACAACACCAGCTTTCTTATAAACTAAATGTGTAGGGTGCCGAAATGGTAGATAAGGCAGGACTTGAATCAATGGTGTAGTGTCTTGTATCAGTCTCAAGTCTCTAAATAGATACCGCGTAGATCTATCTTTAATAAATATTTTTGTTTCTCTTATTTTCTCCGCCGTGATCATATTTAGTTTCTTGTATTAGTAACCGTCCGATCTTAATTACCAGGGCACCATAGACGGGCGGATATTAAAGATTGTCAGTATTAAAGAAAGATGAAATTCAAAAATAGAAGTATTAAAAAAATATTAATGTTCGCTCGGTAGTTCGGTTTACGGGCTGCGGTCGCGCCCGAGGCGCGGACCGTTCTAATTAAAATCGCTACGTTTTGTGTGGTATTCATTTTCATCCTTTAAGCTTTTTGTTACTTCCACCCCGGTTCGGTTACGTTATTGTTGTGGGTTGTAACTAATTTACATCTTAATGAGATGTTTCCTATGCTTATGCCGATAGTTGGCTCAATAAGTTTATAACTTTGGTATTATTAGTTCTAGAGATAAAAGTTAATTCATTCAAAAGTATTAAAAACAATCTTGACAATTTACGTCAGAGTATTATTTTTTCAAGTTGTATATGTATGTGTTTAACATTCCTAATGTTCATTAGCATTTATTACAATGCTAACCAGGATAGCAGAAGCGCGCACGGTCGGCCGAAGCAGCGCCTTTGTTTTGTCCATTACGTATGCAAATGTAGTTCTAGTACCACCTGTGCGCTTATGTTGCCCTGGTAAACAATTGCTAGGTGGAAATGGGAAGACATTTTTTTTGTGGTCGGCTACCGGAGTTACCTTTGTGGAGACAGTCATTGTTCAGATTATAAAGAAAATTTGAAGTTCTAGATAATAATGGACCATCGATTTGTAGATAAATGTAACGTTAAGAAGGACTGAAGGTATGTGTTAAAAACTTGTTTGTAGATCCATAACGATTTTTTATTAATAAGAGGAATGTTTCTGTATAATTTTGTGCATAGCCTCTGATTTTTTTAGTACCCAACAAGTCTTTGGAAAAGCTGCCTAGGTTTTATATAGGCAGTGGAAATGCCTACTACATAGAACTAAAGAATTTATAATTTATTTTCAAATTTAGAACGTTATACGCTTTATCTGAACAATTGAATCAATATCCTAATTTAAAATAAAAAAATAGAAAAGCAAATGCTATCTACATAGTTTTTTAATTTGAAATTTCTTTAAAATAAAATACCTTTCAATGTATGATATATAAAAAAGACATTTGTTGAATTCCATTACTTTTAAACAGAGAACAATTCATTGTTCGTTATATGAACCATGTCACATTTTCATAGGCACGTTTTCCACTAGTCGTAAACATGTTTCACGATCGAAACTGTAGCATTAACAAAAAATCTGATGTAGCCATCAAATGGAGTGGAATCACGCCACTGCTTTCTACTACGTTTCTTAAACAATGTTTCTGTCGTAATATATATGAAGTATAGCGTGGTTTTAATGTATATTTATTAAAGAATGACAGTTAAAATGAGAGAGCTATTTTCGTTATAGTTTAGTTTCGTTAGGTATTGTGATTTGTATATTTTGGTTTGACTGTGTCATTCGCAGACAATGATCAACAGCTGAAAGTAATGAAATTTCAGTACTGAATAAATATAAATGAACACTAAATTAGCAATAGAATTACGAATTTAATAGAGAGTGTATTATGAGTTAGATATAGAACATTTCCAGTCATTTGTAAATAATAATATGAATGAGTTTAGTTACTTACTGAAGCTATCCTAAAAAAATATACCAAATAGAATGACAACAATAATTGGCGCCAAAAAATTATCTTGTCTATGGAAAACTTGCTTAGAATTTACAAACATTAACTTTATAGACTAAAGTAGATCATTATAATTTATAAGTGATTAAAAACTATTTTCTTACATTTCTGCTCACCTACAGCGCTAAGCACCCCGTCTGTGCCTTCACTCGTCTGCGCTAAGTTGTTTTGACGTCAGTAGCTTGCAAAATTTTAAGCAGCGTGGAAGAAAAGCCGCTTACTTTAAAAGCAAACAAAGTTCCTATTTTAAACTTTAGTAGCTGGCGATAAATTCAAACACATATTTTAAATTTCGAACACCTCTGTTTAAATTTTTTAATACAAAATGCATTCTAATTTTTAACGTCATTCGTTTTTTTATTTTCTTTTTATTGTCATTGTCACCCAGTTACATTCGAAATATAAATTTACTTAACCTATGACGGTGTTATTTCTTTTTTCAATTTTATTACGTTCCCCCCTCTTGTGTGACGTACACCTGCCTTGTTTCTGTAAATAAATTCGTTAATTTGCACACGAAATACCTACTTCGAAATAATATAATATGTAAAGTACCTACTACTGACACTATTGTCCGGACCAGTGACATTAGTTTTGAGTACATTAGTAAGAGATTGTATCTGTATATACTAACGATTTTTTATATATTCTGTTTATACGTACTACATTAGCAGTACAATAGAGCAAATTAAGATCGCCTCCTTGTCCACTTCACTTATTTTTTCTAATGAGGAGTGGACTAACAAGTGCTCCATGAGAGGCCACTAAATATGATAAACTCCTACAAGCTTCGGTTACTATATACAATATATTTAATTTATCATATTAAAAAAGGGCTTAACAGTCACCATTACTACGTAAAAACAAGCACCAATAAGATCCATAACGTCATTAACCGATGAACTAGCTGACAGCTGTCGGCTATCGGATTTATCGGTTAGTGACGTCATGAAATTCATTTGTCAGATGCAAAAAAAATTGCGGGAACATTTTAAAAGTTTATTTTTCGTTTTTTTTTTTTATTTTTAATCAACATGAAGATTTTCGTTAGTTATGGAATAAAGAAATTTGAAAATTTGACAATTTACCAAAACAGCCTTGTGTCATAACCAACCTCTTAAAAATAAAAAATATATGGGCGGCATACATTGAGAGAAGTAAGACCACCAACATTCAAAAACGTTCGAAGTTCGAATCACTTTGAATTTAGGTGACGATTGAAGAGCCTAATCTACAATGGCTCGATTTGCAAACAGTGGGGAACTGACGATTGTATGGTGATCGCGGCCCACGAGACATCACTTGCTTTCAGATATTCGGATGACATTGTATAATATCAAAGCAATATTACTACATTAGTAGGTATACAGTTTTTACATTAAAATCTTCACAGAGTATAAACAATATCTAAATTGACGAATTTAAACCGATCACCCGCAAAGGCATTCGGTATTCAAAAATATTATTCTTATTTCGAAAACATAAGTCGCATTCTATATTTGAATTCGTCGCGGGGACGCTCCCCCTCGCCGCGCGTCAAAAAAAGCTAGAACAAACATTTTCTTATCAGAATTTGGTTCTGTAGTTTTATTTAAATATCTATTTCTTTCAACTAAACAGATGTTTGATATCCTGAATCAACTTCACAGCTGTAAGGTTTAATAACAAAGTTAAGTAAAGAATTCTACAGAGGTACGAATATTGATCGGACACACGCTCCTGTCGCGTTCCGAAACACCGAGTGGTGATAAATTACCTTCGGGAAATTCAAACTGTCTTTAAAACAATACCTGCTTTTTCTTCGCCCCTCTTTTATATTTCTTTCCCTTTCTAATACGTATTTTCGTGTATTTCTATCTCGATCGTATTCGAAGAGGGTCGGATTTAACTTTTTTTTTTTGATAATTTTACTTACTTTTTTTAACGTCTATTGGTGTATAAATTAATGTGTTTCGTTACGCTTTATGAATTGTAAGTATAACTTTTTAATTAAAAACTTCGTATAGGGGTAGTTTTGTTAATTTTACAATACTACTAACAATAGTGAAATTCCAGTTCGAATAAAAATATTACAATAAGCGCTTTATGAAAATATAAAAATATGATATATCTAACAGAAATACTAAGAAGCTACAAGACAAGTAGCAACGTATTTAAATATTAGCCATTTCAAAATTATTTTATTTAATATTCCACAATCGCTTGATTCTTTTTAATATCTCACGGTTCTAATCACAGAACAACTTTGTCTGTGGTACTAATAAATAAAGAATGAAATATGGCGGAGCGATTAAACATAGACAATAAAAGTAAAACATTCGCCGAAGATGCACAATCTCCTAATTAAGAACATCACAAATACATTATCTCAGGCCCCAAGCCCGTTCCAAAACTAATTTCTTTTTTGACAAAACAAAAAAAAGACTTAATTACTTTTTCTGGCAATCACAAAAAGCGGGAGATAAGAGCCCTATTTGAATCCTCGTTATCACTACCACCCCGGCACTTTCACCCTTCAATCTCTACCTTTTTTCTTCTTTTCCACCCTCCAGAATACCTATCGTAATTTAAAGATAACTAATGCCTTGCGTCATTAAGGACCAAAATGGAAAATAGGAGTGTAAAAGGAAGTGCAGCCAAACGTATCTTTAATATTTAACTTTTAACAAATAATCAGTTTAATTTGACTCTGAAATTGCTCCTCGAAATACATATATACCATAAAGGTGTTTAATGATTTTGATATTTTAAATAAAGAAACCACGATCACGGTTGTAAACTGAACTAATTTATTTCAATGAGATTTATGCGACCAAAGAGAATTACTATTTTAGTTTAATTTGGTCTATTTCTATTTACCGGCTAGTTTATTTCTTGGCGCATTTTACGATGTCCCTCCAGCATCATCAAAAGTAAAGACGTTAAAGTGTTCAAAACATATTTATTACAATTAAAAATTTTATGGGCCAATAAAAATTGTAAATGAAAAAAATGTTTTCGGCCTTTTGTTGAAATAGGTCTAATTGACCCCAAGATTTTTGAGCCCGGACTTTAACGATCGAAAGAATACCAAAAAAATTAAATTAAAAAAGCTCAGAGTCGCGACAAGGTGTTCTTACTTCTTTTTAACTTAAAAAATGTAATAATCCTACGGCAGTAAAATACTATCGGACGTTTACGACAAATTCACACAAGACCTACTTAATAAATCTGACAAAATCTTAAATTTATGCTCGCGAACGCAGGACACACGAGTAAAAAAAATTATTTAACGACGCCATAAACCTGGTTAGAATATGGCCCTGGAACGCGCGATAATTCGGGAAAAATCCATTTTAATTAACATATTTTTATGGCAATCACTGTAGAAATTACAAATCCCTTTTTAATTACAGCGTTTTAGAAATTAGTATTTACTTAAATACTATTTAAGAATACTGCTTTATAACTTAAAAGTAAAAACAGATAAAAAAGCATATTTTTGTTTTTTTTTTAATTGAACAGCGAACGGCGTCCTTTTCTTCGGTGCGTTTTAATGAAAGCAAGAAATGCCGTCGCTTATTTTTATATTTTTTTCTATGTCCACGTTTAGAAAATATTGTGAGTACGTCCGAAGAATGTTAAAAAGTGTTCTTGATTAAATAAAATGTCGCTAGGCCTCCGAGGGGCAGGGCAGCCAAGTGCACGTGATGAGAATCAAGTATTACCATTATTAGTATCATTAAAGTTAGAAACAGTAAGTAATGGTTGGATTTAAGGCGGGAAAAATAAATAAGTGTAATCATTTTAAATCGGATTTAAACTCTCCCTACTTAGTGAACCAATAGCTGTCAGTATAATATGAATGTATTGGAGTTTTGTATAATCTTCTACGGTTACAATTTTGAGTATTAAAATGTCACCATCTTAAATCGAACTTGACTGAAGAGATGCTGGACTTCACAGAAAACTGTTAAGGTGTTAAGGAATTCGTTCGTTGTTTTTGACCGAGTGCGTGAAA